TACGGACCACCATCTGATCAGCTGGTATATGATGATGATGTTGCCCACAGTGGCTGAAATATGAATCAGACAGCGTTATATATGTATGTATATGTATATGGGATATGGGAAGTGGTTACGACGTTATATACGCACACCACCTGATATTGCCCACAGTGGCCGAGATGATATGATAAGATACCCTCAATGGCTTGATGATATTATGTACACCCATACCTATGCATGGCATGACATTTACACGCACGTACATGACGTTATAAACGTTTCAGAATTTACAAAGTTATTCAGATTTAAAGATGTGTTTCAGTATTCCATGTTTCATCTATGTCTTTTACGCACTAATTTCCATGCCTTACATACTCAGTACATTTTTCGTACTGACACGCCATTTCATGGGGCCTATATTTCATGCCCGCAGGTGCAGGTATGCAAGCTGACGGTCCCCCTTCTTAGGATCCCTGATCAGCAAGAGTTGGCGTGCTCCATTTGATCCGGAGCTACTTTTGATATTGGTACGATAGTTTGTACATATATATATATANTGTTAGAGGTCTGTAGGCAGTATGTCTAGTTGGGTTGTGTGTGACCTTGTCGGCTTTTAGTTTTGGATGTATAATTGTCTATAGCAGCCTTGTCGGCTCGCCCACTGTATTTTGCTTGTATACGTACATATGCCTTGATGGCAGGTTTCTTTCACGTATGTTATTTTCGTAATGCAACATATGTTATTCAGGTTCATATCTTAGACGCTTTCTTATGGGTATTTAACAATTAGGACTCAGGCACCCATCGCGGCCCATCGGTTTGGGTCGTGACACTAAGCGCTTTGACCCGCACAAAAGGGTAACAGATTCAGAAGCCACGGAAGGAAAATGGCTTTGTATAAACCTTTTTACAAGAAGCTATAGGTCACGATCAAGAGTTCCTCGCAAGGGCTGATCAACCTCAAAAGCAAAATATTACTAAGAGCACGAAACCTAAGCAGCACGGTCCTTATCGGCAGAAGTGTCTTCGCCCTCAGAATCTTTCCCACCGCCGGACTCGCTAAAAGTTCTCGGAGTTTTCCTCGGGAAAGGCTGGCTTCCAAGCTTTCATTCCCTCAGTCACTTGCGTTACGATGATGATGTCGTGGCAAAATCGGGGTAAAAATCAAGGACTTAATTCGTTTCTTGTCGTTATATTCTAAGAAACACAGGGACTATCTATATACGGTTGAAATCAGGTATGCCCGATTTCCCAGGCTCGAGGGGTCGCCTTAAACTCGAGTTAAAGCAAGTTCGAGATCGAGCTCGATGGACAAGACTCGAAGCCCGAAATGCAATGCCTTAGGATCGAAGTATCATGAGTGTCGAAGCTGAGCAGGACCGACTCCGAGACAATGCCATTATGAGTTTGTTACAGAAGGACAAGATTCCCTCCACGTCCCCAAGATCATGGTGTAAATTCCGGAATTGATTTGTACGAATTAGCACAAATCCGTACTAGGCAGTTATACATCTGTCCCAATAAGATTTTTTACTGCAAATGAAAATGTACCTTATTTAGGGTTCCCCTCCTATATAAAGGGGACCTCAATCATTTGTAACATCATCTAATCATTAGAAAAGAATATACTATCTTACTTTTTTGCTTATTGTTCATGAGAATCGTCCTTTATCTTTATTGTTCTTGCTTTATTATTCTTGGTTCACCTCGAGGTCACTGAGCTCGAGGTCGCTACTGCCTACTAACTTATCCACTGGTTTGATCTTGCTTATTTTCTTCATCTATACTTCATATCTCTTGATTATTAATTGGTATTGAACTAAATCACGTATCTTTAAAACCACAAATCAAATTTAATTGTTACTCGTATTTTCGAGGTGAACAACAATATTATGTTAATTCATATTATTTACCCTCAAAATCGGATAACAATTAAATTTATACACGGTTTTAAGGATACGTAATATAATTTGACACAACTTGAGAGAGTAGATTAATATTGAAATCAATGACAGAAAAATAAATGCACACCACACAAGTTGAATAGTGTTAGCCTTGAAGGTTGGTCACCCTCGAGCCAGAAATTGCCTCAATCTATGTGAGAACAGAATAGCAAGATAATAAGAACTAGAATAATAATGTATTGCCTTTGGATGCGTGTTACAATGTGTCTTACAAATGATCAGACCCACTTTTATATAGTAGGGGAGTCCTACTCTAGGTACAATTCTATAAAAGTTAGAAAACCTCATAACTTGCTAACTAATCGGCCTCTCCTTGATACGTATCGAGATTTCCACCGTGATATCTGACCGAATGCAGATATTTTGGCCTTCCGTTTTTTGGCCCGATAAAATTTTCTTGATCTTGTTCGGAGTCGAGGTTGGTTCCGGAGTCACGAGCTCGATGATCTAACTCCGTACCTTTGTTTGATATAATTCAGGGTCGAGCTTCAACCCATCATGTTTCAGTCCCGGCCTGTCATGCAGTGGACGAGCCCGATTTCGACCGTATACACATATTTAAACTATATTTATAAATATTTTTGTTTTATTAAGGATAAGAGATCTTATTTTTCAAAAGGAATAATTGCACTTTTGAATTCTTTAGTTATCGGTAATTTATGAGTTTAGTCCTTGTTATACTTAATTAGCATATTTAACTTAGAATAATTAAAATATAGGTCCATTTACGTATGAAATATTTGATATTTAGGTTTCAAAAATGGAAAAAGGTCAAAATGGCCCTGAACTATTGAAAAAGATTTAAAAATATCCTTCATTTATCTATTGGGCTAAAAATACCCCTCCATCCACCTTTTTAGTTCACTTACGCCCTTTGACCGTTAGGTCAATGCTGAATTAAAAATAATAATTATTTAAATTCCACGTGAAAACTTCTTATTGGCCAAAATTAAAACATCTAACACATTAGAAAGACCCACCCATATCTACCATTTTTTCGTACTAACCCGACCCAAACAAAAAATTCAACAAAAAGGCCCCAAAATCTACCAAAATTGTGAAATAGAAAGTTATATGATTCCAAAATCTACAAAGTATATCACTACCAACTCGTCGCTACATCAAGTGAGCTCCAAGAAGATTGATATTTTTCTCCAAGTGTTCCAAACCGGTACATCTTTTTTTTATTTTGAACTTTTTATTCAGGTCAGGTTAGTGTTGGGGTGGGTTAGTCCGAAAAAAGGTAGATATGGGTAGATCTTTCTAATAGGTTAGATGTTTTAATTTCAACCAATAAGAAGTTACCACGTAACATTTAAATAATTATTTTTAGAATTCAGCATTGACCTAATGGTCAAAGAGTATAAGTGAACCCAAAAGGTAGATGAAGGGGCATTTTTAGCCCAATAGGTGGATGAAGGGTATTTTTATACATTTTTCAATAGTTTGGGGCATTTTTGACCCTTCTCCGTCTCAAAAAGGGAAAATTTCACACTAGAACAATTGAGCTCCCTATTTTTCAATTTTATAACCCATATTTCACAACCAACTAGCCCAAAAATAATAGGCTAAGATTCAACATTCAACTTCAATAGGTTCTCAAAATTACTATTTAATTTCTAAAAAAGATTCCTAAAGCTTTTAAAGTAATTTTCGAATCAGTAATTGTGACTCAAATATTAGTTCAACAAACCAAATTCATTTGGGTGGTGAAATTAAATTTTTAACAAGCTTAAATATGTGGGTTTAAATTTCAAATTTGATTTTGTGAGAAATTTGGAGTGGGTGTTATTTAGACTTGTTAGAAATAGTATAAGAAGGTTGTATATAAAATTTGAAATCATTTAATGGAGATTTGGATTGGTTTTGAACAAGAATCGCAACTGAAAATCGTGGAAGAAATTCGTCTACATACACTTGTTTAAAGGTGTATAAAAATGTATAATAGTGTATAAGGTGTGTTTCTACACTCATATACACTATTATACAAGATTATACATAATTATACAAAAAACTAACTTCGTTTTCTTCCTTGCGTCTTTTCTGAAATTTAACTATATTCTACTCTAAATCACTTCAAATTTAAATTTTGAACTCCTTTTAATATTTTCAATCAATTGGAACAATACCCAATCCAAACAACTAACAAATTCAAAAAAAACCATTTTCAAAAGCAAAGCTTTGAATGGTCTTCAATAGTGGACTTCTACTCTTCAATTTTCTTACAATGCAAGCAGGTGACACAAGAGGAGAAGCAGAAAATACACTGCCCCTTGAAGCATATGGAGAAGATGTGAGAAGAAGAGAGACTGAAAGCAATGGTTGTGAGAACACATATTTAACTTCATAGCTTTTGGAAGCAATGGTTGTAAGAACATAGATTTTGAATTTGCTAGTGCTTTCAAAAATGTACAATGTGGGCTAGGTGGGGTAAAACTTAAAAACATGAGCCATTTTTTGTTACGGTGTGAAGTCGTAAAAATAGCACGGTATAGCCAGTTTTCGGACTGGTCATTCAAAAATAGCCAGCGTTTACGAAATCAATGAAAAATAGCCACTATTTTGCTGCAACAAAGACCGGTCTAGCATAATATACTGAAGTTCAGTGCACCTGTGTATGAACTCCACCATATTATGCTGGACCGGTATACTTTGCTGACTCCAGTATAATATACTGGAGACTAGAGCACCGGTGCTCCAAACTCCAGTATATTATACTGTACAATTATACTTGATGGAACTCCAGTCTATTATGCTGGGGTTCCTCCATCATATTATGCTGGAGCTCCAGCATAGTTATCCTGGAACTCCAGTATAATATGGTGGAGTTCCAGCATATTATGCTTGAACTCCACCATATTATACTGACGTATTCGGGTTTTGAACAGTGTTTTCATTCAGATTTATCTTTACATGAAAAGTGGCTAAATTTTAATTACTTTTGAAACTGAGCTATTTTTGAACGACCAGTTGTAAATTTGACTATTTTTGAATTTCTTATTTTCTTGTAATTTTTCTCTCAAAAATCTTCACTCCCGCGTAGAACTAGAACCCAATAGCTTCTTCTCCTATTCCTCAAGCTAAGAATGGACGAGTCCATAGGCAAATTCTGCAAAACCCTAGCCATTTTCTGTAACAATCTCCAAAACAGCTGCCACGCTCTCAAAGAGTCCCTTGATCGTCGTCCCATTCCTCTTGGTATAATTAACTTTCCTGATAAAGTTTTTCCTTTAATTTTTTGAAAAATAACGCTTGAGCTTTATACAGATTCTGCATCGACGACCTTTGTGCAAAGCTTGAACCAGAGAGTATCGTCACTGAGCGGTGACCTCAACGTGCTGGAGTCCATGTCTTGTGAAACGGTGTCGTTTGAGGAGCTACTCGGCCATTGCAATGAAGTATTCAAAATGAACCAAACTCATCTTCTTTCCCTCCAGGACCGTCTCCATAATCTTGGCTATATTTCTTCTAGTAAGTAAATTCGGTCTATCAATTAGTCAATGTTGTGGTCCGCTATATGATTCTTTAGTGATAGTTCTATTCCATTCAAGCCAAAATCATCACAATTCTCCTTTGGTTATTAAAATTTGGAGTTAAGTCAAATAAACTGATATTGTAATTTTTTTTGACACTATTACTGTAGTTTAATCCGTTTTAACAAGTTAGTTCTCATTGTTATCAGGTTACCAATTAATTTTTATCATGTAAGTGACCTAACTGTGTAAATATTGTTAAACCATCAGCTCAAAAAACTTAAACTTCAAGAATTTATACCGGCAAATTGGGGACCCCAAACCTAGAGATTTTGTCAATTTCACGCTTATCTGATTAACACCGGACCTACTTTAAGTGTAACAATAATAGCTAAACATTAATCCCAAGTGAATGGCATTACCTATGTGAATCTTTTCTTCTCATTGTATCATTTCATCAGCCAAGTGTACACTGATTTCGACTGATTGTCGGTCTTTTGAGTGTCACATACCCGTATTGAATTTCCTGCTAAGTTTCACATGAAGTTTTAAAATATTTTTAAATTGGGGAATGCTCATTAGAGCTAGTATTAGTGTTATGTACCTTCTGTTGTGATCACTGATACGTTTAACTTGTGGTTTTTGGTAGAGGTGGTGTATTATTGTCTACCTTTTTGATTGCGCACATAAATTGTTCCAGATTGGGACCTCTTTTGAAATCTTCATAACAATTATATGTATATGTGTGATGTGACAAATAACCCTTTGGTCAACAAACCAGTACCGAGTCCGCAGAAGTCCAAGGGAAAAAGCTCTAAATTCTTTGTCACAGAAATTTTCAAAATTTTAAATATGGAACGCCCATTGGAGCTCGTATTAGCATTGTGTAGTTTGTACCTTTTACTTTATCACCAATGTATTTTGTACATTGTAACATGTAAGATTGCCATACTGGGGAATATGAGGAGTTCTGGTTCTCTTTTATCATTCTGCCTTAACTTTGAATGATTAATCATTTTATTTTGTTTACTAATTGCTTATTGGCTGGTTTGCTATTTTCTTTGCTGCACAAGTCGATCTTATTGATGAAGACATTGAAGGAGAAGAAGAAGATGCAAAAGTTTGGGAAGATTTATCACCTGACTGCAGCTTAGACTTGAAGAAAATTGAAGATGATCCTTTGTATCCTTTATGATTGTTTTATCTCATTTAATTAAGCACAAGTCTTCTACTTGAATCCTCCTAAACTTTTCGGCTTTTAGCAGAATCACAGTAATGGATATTCTTGCACTTGGTGAGTTCAGTGCAGCTCCATGCTCGACATGTCTTTCTTCTGCCAGAAAATCAGGGGTTTTCACTTGTTTTCATCTCTCCTGGAAAAAAACAGAATAATCTGATGAACAAAGAAGAAATTCAGCACCATCAACTTGCTTATAATTGAATTATGAACGATTGTTTTGAAGCAAGGAGATTATTGTCTGTGCTACTTAACATTTTTAGGCTGGATGATTCTCTGAATTTGCAGAACCTTGGTCTTTCTGATGTTTGCCTAGCTACCATAGCATCTGAAGGTGAGTTTCATACTAGAAACCAAATTGCCGTATCTGGATGGAGTATTAAGAATTTTTTTTGAGGTGTAAATTGCATTAGATTCTTCACTTGTAGATTTATATTACATATGTGATGTTCATTCCCAATGGGCATTTTAAGGATGTATCTGGACATATGAGTAAAAATTATTTCCCATTTTCTTTCAAACTATGCTTTAGATTTGTTTGGAGGAGGAAAGTTTCTAGATGGCTTTGCTCTAGTTTTCATGTATGATATGTTCTAACTTGAGATATTTTCCTTTGTCTCTTCTGTATTCTGATTTGCAGCTAACACTACATATGAGAAAGAGGGATTATATCTAGCAATTGAGAAGAAGCAGGACAGTAGTGATGGTACAAAACTTGGCCCTCCACTCCATTGCCTTGGTAGGCTTAGTACAACATGGTGTCTAAGATGTGTTTCTTGCCTTTCTGAACATAGGGAAAATGAATGATGAATTAAAGTCATCTGAAGATATTCAGTCGTTGATAACTGTGTCAGAAAATGACTATGAAAACCTCCCCAAACATTTGAAGAGTTTAGCTTCATGGCAGGTGAGGTTTTGCTATTGGTGATCTCATTTTCTTGCTAGTCTTATCCTAAAGACAAAAAGTGTTTTAAAGTAGACACTGAGCAGACTAAGGAATATGCTCTGATGCAAATATTCACGCATGAGGATTTTACTTGTTAGATAAACTTTCAACATGGCCTACATTGGAATGTGGAAAATATGCATAAAATGTTTGTCTAGCAACTAAAAAGAAGAAGTACGCAAGTATTATCTTAGTAGCTTTGGAGGGTGGCATGACCTTGTGCTTTAAGATCTTTATAAGAGAAGTTGCTGAGGCACCTAAAGGAATGTCAATTATTAAAAGCTAAAGTATAACAACTTCAAAACAATGTTTACTTCCATCAAGTATTACCTTAATTGATTTGAACCTCAAATGATTTATGTACGTAAAATGCGGGTACTTCCTTCAGTCTTAGGAGTACATGGTCAGTGTGGATTCATATAACCGAACCCAAATTGTTCGGGGTTGGGGTTGAGGCTTAGTTATTGTTTTTCCTTCAGTCTTAGGTTGTGGCACATAACCTTTGAACAGTGAGAATACACACAAGATCTACGTTTTATATGCTAAAGTTCATGATTTGTTTTTCCTTTCAAATTGACAAAGCTTGATAAAATATCAAAAGAAGAAAAAGGTACCACCTTTTATCTTCTCTTTCCTTTTCCTTTTTCTTTTTTTCCGCTTTCCAACTTCTTTCTCGCTTCTTGTTTTCCAGCCATGGAGCACAAAAAAGTGGAACGTGAATGAAACTTATAAAGAATATGCCAGATCTATTGTACAAAATCGTGTCAAAATTATTCTAGACATTTTGTTTTAATTGGGAGATTATTTTGTAGTAATAGAACCTTGTAAATTAGAATTGACCTCATTAGAATAGGTTAGCAACTCCTATATAACGAGACACCATGTGTTGAGTTTTTCTATAATCAAGAAAAATAGTTATCTACTTATCTCTTTATTTCACAGAGTATCAAAGCTAAGGAGGGAAAATATCAGAGTCTAGGTCGACATAGTCAACATAATACTTTTTAGAAAATTTTGTGAAGTGGTTCATTCACTACCTTGAACTTCCTGTTAGTCACGTTACCAAATGTTCAATCGACTATATTAGGTGTTTGGTCTTGGCACTGATCCAAATCGTACACTATTGTACCATAGGATGCGCCTGCAAGTGCCGCCACAGTCTCAGCCACTCGCTAGAGTGTAAAGTCACATGGACACATGCCAAACCCGTCCCAATTGGTGCCATATGTATGGAATGTCAGCAACACATGGCATTTGTCAGTCCATGCCAATGCGATGTAAATACTCCTCAGCTTCCAGCATGTCAGTCCAGTCAGCTAAGTCCACGTGGCTGTGCTTATTGGCCTAGATGTTATCCAGTCAGCACATAAACCACGTAATTTGACATGTCGTTTATCCTGTTAGAGTGCCACCTTAGCAGTTACCTCCCCAGTTTTTTGATTTCTCTGGGTCTATTTTTGCGAGCCAAATTTTCAAATTCTTATCCTAAACAGCAAAGTGAATTTTTTTTCCTGTATTTAATCCAGATCCTACTTCCTTGAAGAATTAGATTCTTACATGAAGATCTCGTTCTTTAGAAAACTGCCACAAGTCCATCGCGGTGAAAGAATGACTATGAAATTATATTGCTACGTCCACATATAACGTGGGAGACATGTCTACGGTTCTCACATCTTCTAATTGGTTAATTGTAAGCCTTCCTCAGTTATCCAAAATCAGTTTCCGTACATAGTTTTATTCCACATTCACAGCATGTTTTTGTTCAACTTAATCCCTTGGAAATATAAGTTTTATTCCCACATTCACAGCACATGTTTTGTTCATAAGTTAATCCCTTGGAAAGACAAATTAACTCCTCGCACTCAAATATGTGTTTCATGGTTATTCTCAGATTTAGAAGGGATATCGACATGCCGCTGCAATTCAACTGGTTTGTGTTATTACCTTATGTCAGCTGATGTCACCTTTTCTCAGACTTAACCTTAATTCACATCTTTTTCTGACTATCTTGACATCTCTCATGCCTTACACAAACCTTTTTTTGAAGACTCTATATGCACGCTTCCTTCTGCTCTCACAACAATCATTCTCCTCTAACATCTCATATAATTTCTCCAGCTCCACCTCAGTTGACTTATTATTGTCGCAATCACTCCATATCGTGTCCAAAAGACAACATGCCCTGCATCACATCCCTTGCCTGTTGCAGATTTATCTCCCCAGTCCTCCTATTGCCCTTAAGAAGATATTTGCTCTACTTAATTAATCCCAATTATGTCTGCTTGAGTGATCATCATATATCATCTCATCATTATGGCTTTGTGTTATCCTTGTCTTCTGTTTGTACCCTAAGCTACATGTGAATCCCTCTCTCATCCAGGATGCTGATATCCTATGGTTGAGGAGATGTCTATTTTCCACCATAGTGGTACTCGGTAACTTGTTCCTCTACCTCTAAGTAAATCTACTGTTGGTTGTCAGTGATTATATACGGTCAAAGTTGGCTTCGATGGTGCAACTAATTGACTTAAGGCATGTCTAGTGCCAAGGGTTATACTAAATTTTTTGAATTGATTACAATGATACATTTTCTCCCGTGGATAAAATTGTATATGTTCGCCTTTTTCTATCCATGCTTGCTGTTTGCCATCGGGTTCTTATCAGTTGGACGCATAGTACTTTTCTCTATGGTGATTTTGAGGATGAAGTGTATATGGAGCAACCACATGATTTTGTTGCTCAGCGGGAGTCTAGTAGTCTTGTGTGTTGATTGCGTTAGTCCTTATATGGTCTGAAACAGTCTTCTCGAACATTGTTTGGTAAGTTCAGCACAATTATTCAGAAGTTTGGTCTGAGTCAATAGTGAGCCGGATCATTCTATATTCTGTCGGCTTATTGCTCCAAATTAGTTTATTATTTGGTAGTTTATATTGATGATATAGTTATCATGGACAATGGTCAAGATAGTATAACTAAATTGTAGCAGCATCTCTTTGAATACTTTCGGATTAAGGATCTAGGCAGATTGGAGTATTTCCTAAGCATTGAGGTAGTCTAAATTAGGATATCTCATCTCATAACATAAAGTATGCTTTAGACATTTTTGAGGAAATATGAATGACAGATGGTAGACCCATTGATACTAACATAGCTTTGAATGCAAAATTTCTACCGGTTCAGGGAGCCCCTTAGTGATCCTGGAACCATAGACGGTTGGTGGGTAAGTTGAATTGTCTCACCGTGACTTGACCTGATATTGCTTTTCCAGTGAATATTTTATGCCAGTTTATGGACTCTATATGTGATAATCGTTGGGATGCAGTTGTTCGCATTCTTCGACACGTAAAATCAGCCATAGGAAAAAGGATTACGTTTTGAGGATCGAGGCCATGGGCAGTTTGTCGAATACATAGATGCAGATTTGGTTGGACAAGTTCTGATGAACGGTCTACCTCTAGATATTGTGTTCTCGTTGGCGGTAATTCAGTGTCTTATGAAAAGTAAGAAACAAAATGTGGTTGTCGATCTAGTGTAGAAGCAGTAAGTCGTGTGATGGCTTTGACAACTTGTGAACTAGTTTTGATCGAACAACTACTCAAACACGCGATGAAATTTGCGTATGATGATCAAGATGCTCTTCATATTGCATCGAATCAGTCATTTCATGAGAGCACTAACCATAGAGATCGACGCCCACTTGAAAAAAAGATATTCTCATGAGATATCGTCACAAAGTTTTTGGAGTCAAATGATCAGCTTGCAGATATTTTATCTTAGTCCTTTGTTGGTACTCAATTTAGTTTCATTTATAATAAGCTTGGTACATACGACATTTTCTTTTTTTGATGAAGTGGTACATACGACTTGTATGCACTAGCTTGAGGGGGAATTTAAGAATATTGTGTATATTAGTTAAAATCAATAAGGGAGATATTGCGTATTTGTAATTATGTAGCCTTGATTCCTTTCCTAGTTTGGAATAAGTGCATGCTCGATTAACACCAAATAGCTTGGGAGAGTAGTCAAGAATTGTTTCTCTATCAATCTCCTTTTCCTTATTTCATTTCTCACAAGAACATCTCAATTGAACCTGTGATCTAAATGAAATTTTCCCAAACCTAGTGTATCATGCTGAATTTTGTCAGCTTGTGAAATTTTGGTAACATGGCCTTACTTTTGCGTAGCAGACTCCAAATAACAAACCATTTGAACCGTAGGAAACTAGGCTTCAAGATCTACAGTTTTGTTTTAAAATCTTATCAAATTCTTTTTAGATTAAGTACTGTTTCTTCGAACTTGAGGGATGATTCACTTGTTAGCGTAAGCACAAGTTTTCAACTCCTCTTGTTTCCAAAGCGGTCTAGGCTTAATATAAATTACACCAACAGATCAAGCATACATTTTTCTCATGTTGTATGTGCGCAAGTGTGTATTTGTGTGTGGGCATGTCAGAGTAGAGTCAAGTATTGGGCCAGTTGAGTTAAATATTAGATACTGTATTTATACTAATGTCACTTCTTGCCATTAGACTTTTCTCTTGCATTGTATTTACATCGTGGTTCTTAGCTATTAGAACTATACTCTTTATGAAATTCAGGATAATCCATGATACTCCATTTGGAGTAATGCCCTTCCATTTTCTAGACATACAGAAGGGAAACCCTACTTTCAGCGATTACTCTACTGCTCTAAGCCTTGTAGAAGATGCTTATTTGTAAGTAGCTATACTTATTTTCGCCTTGACCGGCAAAATTGCTTTTTGGATCGTTGTAATGCTTTTCTTCCTTTTTTTAAATTTTCCTTGTGCTGTTTTATCTTTCTTGTTCTATTGTATTCATGTTCTATGGCTCCCACCCTCTCACTAAAGTGCTGAAATACTTATATAGGATTTAGTTGTTGCTGTTGAGAAGATGAACTCATTCCTCCGCACGAAAAAGACTAGGCCATACTCCTTCCAACAAGATGAAATTGCGGTATTAGATTTAGGTATGTGTTTTTCACCTTGTTACTTTTTCATTTTACATTTGTGTATATGTTAATTAAGGACATGGAAATGCAGTTGTCATTAACTGAATATTTACATTCTAGCACCTTAGCTAATTGCTCTAAATAATTTTATGGTCTGGTTCCTCTGACAAAATTTCGCATACCTTATTTTTGCTATTTCCTTTAGGGAAGATAGATTTGCATCTTGTCTATGGACTGTGGATGCATTATTGGAAGATGCAGATCGCCTGAACTGTGAATTGGTTTAATCCAATATGCATTACCAATGTGTACCTTGTTCGTAATAATCATATTTTGCAGAAAAGTTTCCAAGAATGTTAGTGTCATGGAAATATTATTCAGATTATTGTTATAAGGGTGAGCCTCTAGGAAATTTGAATACCATGGCCCTTTAACTGTTACCATGTGAAAGAATATTTATTTCTTTCTCATTCACGTGGGAAGATGTTTTTGGACCTTGGTGGGTAATGGGACAAGAGGTTTGACTTTTTAATACTCTTCGTCGCGATAGATTAAAGGTTTGATGTTTTCGGTTCCAAAAAACACAGGATTCAGACACTCGAGTCCCATGATTACTTCGAAACCTTTAGTTGGTGGTTCTAACTATATAGCTTGGGGCTCTTCTGTTGGGTTATGTTGTAAGGGTCAATGCGTCCATGATCACTTGACTAGACAGCCTATAGATGTTGATGAGAAAGCTTGAGACTTTTTTTCCCACTTCAGTAATGGCAGACTCACCAGATGTCATGTCAATGATGCTTGGTCTACCAGTAGTTCAGTTGGTCCACATGTTCATGTCTTAACATATCAGGGCTTGTTGTAAATTAGTTAACATCAGTCACATGACTCACATCCAAGCCTAAACCAGTTGCAGCAGTGCCAAGAGCTTAAGTTTGGAAAACGTTGATAACTATTTCTGTCACTACCCAAATCTCACCAAGTCGTGATGGCACCTAACTCAACCCGCTAGGTAAGCCCACCAACATATCACACAGCTTGAACTGAAATCATCAAATAAATAGTGGAATAAAAATGCGAAAATCAATACAATTATCCCAAGGACTGACAGTACAAGTTATGAGCGACTAAGAATAGGAGTACAAAACTAATATGAAGACCTTACAAAACTAATATGAAGAAACTTACATTTGGAATATACATAAACAGAAATACAAGCCCAAAACTACCATGAACAAAATAGTAGCTTGCAACTGGAACGTTGGTATATCTTAAATGCTAGCCTTCGTCTTCCACAACAGCTTAGCTCCAAAATCTGCTTGCAAGGTGCAAAAGTATAGTATGAGTACAATCGACCCTATGCATTCAGTAAGTATTAAGACTAACTTCAACGAAGTAGTGACATGGTTTAGTCAAAAGATACTCACTTTATATAACCCGTGCAACTCATAAGCGTATACAATAATAGAGAAATATCCAAGAAATAGCCAAATAACATCGGATATCAGCAATAAGGTGCACAATTCAAGAAGAAGGTAATAAGCATGCTTTTCAAGTAACCAGATCAAAGCATGTACAAATGCACCAAATCTGCATATCAAGGAAATGTACACTAAATAACTTAAGTCAAGTACTTTTACATGATCGCAAAGGGACTATGCATGATAAAGATCCATTTTCTCAGAAATTTTTCGATAGCATTTATACGAATGATCCAACATGAGTCTACGTGTCAATGCATGATAAAGACCATATATACATCAAATCCGACACTTTCCAAGTGTTCAACAATCAACTAACAAGTTACATGCTAAAAATGCATGAATGTACATATGTCAATTTATGCATGAATTTCTACACGAGTGTAGGATGTCAATACATGCTGAAGACTCAATCCTTTCCACAGAATCAATACCAATACACATGAATAGGAGATAAGCATGTACGATGCACATGTGCAGAGAAATAACTATGCAGAAATGCATGCATGTGTACAAGAGATGATTTCTAGGCATGAAGTGTGCCTATGTGTATCGAATGACTACGACCCCAACCTATAATCCATCCTCCAAATAATTATTATGTCCAATTAAGCACCAAAAGCCTAAATATAATCTCTAACATCAATATGAAAACTCAAGTCGTCATACTACAGTAAAGGTATATCACAAGAATAACAAGTATGGATGCACGTTTATAATATAACGTGTGACCACGACGCATATCAAGTATCTCAACAATCTCAAAAATAGTTCATCGAGCTCAAATAAAATTTCATAAGCTAAAACATGATCTCTAGCATGAATGATTGTGCCCACGTAGTTGTAAAATCAAATAGAGCTTAAGTTAAGAAGAATACACATCTGATCCAGGATTAAAGAAGCCTAAACTCTACCTATAATATGGTATAACCTCGGTATCCGCATATACGCTCGTTCTCTCGCATATATGTCACCCTAAAAACACATAACACGTAGCAAATAATTCTATTTTTAGAAAAACATTCCCTCAATCGAGGCTTAGCAAGATACTTACCTTATCCGGGCTTGTCTCAACTCATATCGCATCTTTCCTTTGTTCTTGACCTCCAATTGCCCAAAACCTAACCAAATATCATTTAGCAAAAAGTCAAATAATGCTAAAAGAAGCAATCCCAATCAATAGAGCTTCAATCAAAATCCCAAAAAGTCAACAAAAGTCAACACGAGCCCACATTGTCAAAATCTGAAAGCAAGACCAAATCTCAATGACCCATAACCCCATGAGTCCAAATATGTGATTATTTTTCAATTCTGCATCCAAATCGATATTCAAAACCTCAAAATTCTCTTAAGTTATAGAAAAATCCCAAATTACACTTTTATGTTTTAGGTATAGAAATCCATGGGAAATAAGGTATATGATCAAAATCAAGTAGAAATTACTTACCCTCAAGATATGGGTGAAATCCATCTCCAAAAAATCGCATTTTCTCGTTCTTCAAAACTCAAAATAGTGAAAAATGACCAGTTTTCGAAATTCTGGACATAAAATACCCTGACAATATTTCCTTCTTCGCGATCATGACTGCTATTCACGTGATCACGATGCACAAACTGATCTAGGCCAAATTTCCTTCTATGCGATTGCATATGCTCCTCAAGTGATCGCGATGATTAGCCACGCTCCCTACATGATTGCGGTCAAACCCTCACGACCATGGTGCACTTAACCTCCCCCGGCCCAACCCCTTTAAGCGAACGTGGACAAACCTATGCGACCGTGATGCTGTACCACCCAACACTTTGCGATCACGGTCCTCCTCGCGACCGCGAAGAACAAAACTTCGCCTGCCAAGTTCCTTCTACGTGATCATGGCACAAGCCTTGCGATCATGATTCACTTCACTGACACTAGAAATCAGCAATTCCAAAATGGCTCAAAATGATCCGAAACCACCCCGAAATTCAGCCGAGCCCATCGAGATCCCGTCCAATCTCAAGAACTAATCTGTATACCTTCCACGAACTTGTCCAAAGTACTCAACACGAATAACAACATCAAAACCAAGAATCAAAGATTAATCCAAATTATGAAATTCTCTTAAGTTCGTAAATTCCAACTTTCAACTAGAAGTGTAAGAATCATTTCCAAGCCACCCGAGGCCCGAACCAAATATTCGTACAAGTCTAAAATCACTATAGAAACCTATTGGAACCTTCAAATCACCAATCCGAGCTCGTTCACTCAAAAGTCAAATCTTGGTCAAGTCTTCCAACTTAAAGCTTCCAAATTAAGAATTACTCTTCCGAACCGCTTCCAAACCTCTCGGAAAACAAAACTAACCATACTCGCAAGTTATAATACATTATATGAAGCTACTCAAGGTCTAAAATCACAGAATTGAATTCTAGAACTCAAAACGACCGGTCGGGTTATTATAATTTCTCATACCTTGGGGGGAGCTTGGTCATTCCTTGCGGTTAAGCAATCATTACCTTAGTAACATGATTTTCAGGGGTGTAGTTTGTTTGGGGGAAGTGTGGAGGTCGAGCATTAAGGTTGTAGGCTAGGGGGAAGTTATGAGTATTTCTACAGCGCATTAGAGTGAGACTAGCCAGTCAGGAGTTAGTCTTAGAATGCTATTGGTCAGCTACTGATGCAGGGCTTTATCTGCTGGATATTGTTATATCTTCCATTTTTTTCGTACTTCCTATATTTCTTATATTGCTGTTATTTTATTTTATGTTATGTTATTTTATGTTATTTTATATTATTTTATTATGAGTCTATTGATAGTACTAATATATCGTCTCTTGTCGCTTTCTTAAGCCGAGGGTCTCCTGGAAACAACCTCTCTGCCCCTCGGGGTAGGGAAAAGGTCTGCGTACATATTACCTTCCCCAGACCCCACTTGTGGAATTATACTGGGTTGTTGTTGTTGTTGTAGTTTGTTTGGGGGAAGTAGGTTGTCTTCATTGTTATTAGAAGCCTTATTGAAGGGAAATATACTCTATACCAACTGGGAGTCATATTAAAACCAACTCATAAGGAAATTTACCCTATCTTGAGAATTATTTTTCAAATTGTGAATGATTGATTGCACTTACTATTTGATCCTCGTTTTGGTTGTCTTTTATTTTGTTGAGACTTCTGATGTTGGAAAATGCTTCCCAGAAAGGAGATCTACCATCTTAAACATGATGTGTCCTTAGTTCGTTTGCTTGTGCCTTAAAAAAGAAAACAGTTTCTGGACCTACGACACTATACAAAGATTCCTAGAAAAGATAGCAACAATTTTCTAGTCAAGGTTGAGAGCCAGTACAATCAGTTTAGACTTGGGTAAGGAAATATCAACTTTGGTGCAGCTATATCACAATATGATAGGTGCGGCCCACCATGGCAGACTCATTGGCATGGCGTGACCGCAGAAATGAGCATTCAATTTGAGGCTCTTGCGTTCCTTAGCATCCTTGCGAATCACCATTAGATGTTTCAATTATTGGCTAATACTGTTAGAAACTTAAAAGACGATAAGAAGAAAGTCCGGAAACCACTGTAATGAAAAAAAAATTGTTTCTTTTCCTCTTTTCTTGTAGCAGCATTTTGGTCATGCTTGCACTTTTCCCTTTCATGCTTTTGAAGTGCTTTAACTTCAACGACCTTGGATAAGGTTAATTATATGTTGCCATGAGGCACTGGTTAGGTCACCTACCATGAGCTAGTTTCCACTTGGTATACTTGTTATACTAATCTTAGAACTGAATGAACATATCAAACAAGAGCGAGACATTCAATGTCAAGCAAACTGTATAGGAGATCAATTCTTTTAGATGCAACTGGTTGGTCATTTAGTCCATCTTTTAGTCCTAAAAATTCTCAGGCAAGCAGTCCTGTAAAATGGATTATCATCTATCAACTATGCAGATTCAGCTCTAACTTTAGGTATGATATAAAAGGATCTGTTATTACTTGATATAATATTGAGCTTGCATGCATGTCCGTAAAAGTATGTGTGCTATTTTTAACCTATGTTTCCAACACTGCAGATATTGCTCACAAGGAAATCAAAATAACCAATAATCTCCTTTCCGTTTATTTCCCTTCTTTCGTTGAATTGTTTTAAAATGTTCCTTTTGTTCTTTTCTTTTCCAGCCATAATAACTAGCCATAGAGTAATTGGTTCTTTGTTGGTGCAGGGCATAAAGCTAGATCTTATCTGCTGTTGCTCATAAATATGAGTCGAGTAATAGTAGAGACAAGTGATGGCTTGATTTGTTATAGAATCTTATAGTGTGCAATGAGTGCAGAGATGAAACCCATTGATGTTAACAAGTTAGGAATATTCAGCTGAAGTGTGTGCTTTTAATGATTTGATATTCTTGATCAGAAAAAAGGGCATAACAATATTTAATGCCCATTTAGTATGGTATTAAAGGCTCATTTATTTGCATCTTGAAGTGCTTACGTTGTTCAAAATTCCTACTATCTGTTTTGCTACCTCCACCAGCTCATATGCTAGGAAATTTTGTCTGCCAAAATTTAGCAAATGAAAAGCAATTTTCTTCTAGTGTTTTTTTTTTGTTTTTTTTTTGTGCTGTGATCTGAATTCAAGTCTCTTACGTTTCTTATTCTTAAGCTGCCGTAAGAAAGAAACAGAGAGTTGGGTGTTCATATCCAATTCTTTAATTGTCTTCCCCTTTGTCCACCTTGCAAGCTTTGTGTTTGATTATTAGTGGGGATGGGTGCGGATAGATAGTTAAGTGATGATTAGTACAAATCCAATTTACAAAACACGTAATTACATGCTATAATAACATTCAAAAGTTGTTTTTTTTAATATTTTTTTTTATATGTTTCATTAAATATGAATTTTCCCCTTAAACCTACTATTTTGCTGCTCCTATTGTCATGAGAATTTTTTATGAGGATGACCTGCTACAACAATTTTGTATTTAACTAGTTTTTTCTACGTATTAGTTAAAATATTTTTTCATTATTTTATAAACAAGACATAATAAATTCTAGATTATATTTACGTGAATTGGATAAAAATAAATTTACAGTTGGATCTTCTATTAATTAGTTCAAATAAAAAAATTTATGCTGTGAAAGATACCATTTATTCTTTTGCAACATTCGTTTACACAACTAAAACTATATAGTTAACAGAGCGATTTGACAGGGATGAGGCGGATGCACATCATATGGATTCACATTTTGTGATACAAAGAGATACTCATGCTGACTTTGCAAAATCCTACGAGCTCTCCAACAAAGGAGATGTATACGAGTGAACTCGGGGTTAGCACATGCCCTGAGTTCCCAGAGAGTCAAACGAAGTAAGAAGTGTGAGGGCATGTGGTAGAGACCGAATCCGAGGACCCTTTGAATCGAGGCTGAAATGGGGTGCTCGCCACCGGGCCTGACAAGATGACACCCCTGAACCTGGAACAAGCTCCAAGACCTTGGAAAGCACTACAAACGGTTACACACGAGTAATAGAGGGCTGTGATATCCGCACCCAACCGGATATCATGGCACGAATCTCGGTAGTGTATCAGTGACTGATGTACAAGGAGGACTTTTACCTTTTCTAGAATTGTACTAGGGGTAAAACTCCCCTATTATATAAAGGGTAAGTTTTTTATTCAATGGACACATTGTGACACGCATATCAAGGCAATACAAACTTATTTCTCTAATTTCTATTGAAAAGTTCTTATTTTAATCATAGTTCTTCTTACTCATATGGCTTCGAATCGAGGGTCCGGTCGAGGGCAGAACTATTGTTAAGCTTAAATCCGAGCCCGGACTCAACGCCACAACTGGTTTGGTTATTTACTTTATCTTTAATTCGTTTATCTAACATTCTTGATTACTTGTGTTAAATCAATCCACATATCCTTAAAACCACATACAAATTTAATTGTTATCCGTTTTAAGGGTAAACAGTTTGGTGCCCACCGTGGGGCTAAGGATAATAGTGGTGGTTTGATACAAATCTCCATAACACGCTCTATTTCACATTTGTTCTTTAAGGTTTCAATTTCAAGTCAGCTTAAAATTGTTAAATCCTCAGTCCACTCACTTGAACGTTGAGGATGGGTTTGGCTATCATGGAGAAAATAACTATTTGATGCCTAGCAATGAGGTGCCCCCTGCTGATCCCAACGGAGTCCCAGTCGTAGACCCGGTCGATGCTAATTCGCAGGTAGCCATTGACGCCAACCTGCCTACCGACCCCAAGAATAGCATTCGCGGAGGAGCCCGACCAATGGCTCTAGGAGTGCCCGAAGGCAAAGGCAAAGGCGACGGGGTCAGTCTGCGATTGATCTTTGAAATGTTGCAGGCTCAATAGGCGGCGATAGCGCAACTGCAAAATCAAACCCGCGCCCCCAGCAGGGTGGAGCCCGAACCATCTCGGGAAAATACCCGAAGAAATGAGCAAATCATCGAAAGGCCGGGTGAAGATGAGTCTGTTGTTAGCCCAAAGTATATTGAAAATTCTTGAAGCATTAACGAAACGGGTGGAATCAGGCGAATTTTTTTGTTGAGGCAAACGAGAAGAATGTGGAGACATATAACTCCTGGGTTGATCAAATCCAGGAGCGCCGCCGATATTGAAAGGCCTGAACTCCAAGAAATTTGTCCAAAAGCCTTTCCTCCGAGCATGCACCAAAGCCAATCTCGCAGAGGTTTTGTATGCCTGATATTTTAAAATATAACAGAACCACGTATCCGAATGAGCATGTGGCCTCCTACATATGCGCCATCAGGTAACGATTTGGAAGACGATGAAATTGAGTTAGTATTATTAAAGAAGTTCGGGAAGACTCTGCCAAAGGGAGCGATGATGTGGTACCACAACCTGCCCCCAAATTCTATAGATTCGTTCGCTATGCTCGCGGATGCTTTTTTAAAGGCTCATGTGGGGCCATCAAGGTAGAGACCAGGAAATCGTACCTTTTCAAGTTTAAGCAAAGAGACAACGAGATGCTCAGGGTGTTCGAGTTAAGGTTTCAAATGGAACGGATGGACTTGTCTCCGGTTGCGGACGATTGGGCCGTTCAGGAATTCACTCAAGGACTTAACCCCTAGCAGCTGAAACAAAATTTAGTAGAATACCTAACGGTAATTTGGCCAACGTCCGCAACAGGTGCCAATAAAAAATCAGAGTCAAAGATGACCAACTCGGAGCCCCTTCTGGGTCCGTTTATCCCATTAGAACTGATGACAGGTCTAAGAGGGTCGTCGATCATGAATCAAGGCCAAGTCCGAGATCGGTGTCAACCGTACATCACAGATCGAAGGGGAAACGGGCTCGGGCGCAATTCTATAAGGAATGAAAAAAGAAGGGATTGAGGGTCCAATAGCCGAGGTCTGATGAGCAAAAACAGTTTCGACAGGCCGCTCAAGGGAAGGGAAGCACCAAGATTATCAGAGTATAACTTCAACGTCGATGCAGCCTGTAGACACCTGATTTTTGACCCTCCCCGAGAATTTTCACATTTTTAGCTTAAATATTTAAT